TCGAGGTGATGGATCCTATACAGGGTAGTGAAGTTAGGTTTTTCTGATAGATTTTAGCGTCCTTTAAGATATATCAAAAATCTGCAGTCTAAGAATGGTTATAACACGATGTTAACATTGCATTCTTTCAGTATTTGTAACGTACTTTTGCATGAGATTTACTAGCAATAACTAAGCATTTTTGGTTTTGCGTTCCTAATTTATTATTATTATTATTATTTTAATTTTAGACTAATGAAATGAATTCTTAGACTAAAAAAAGACACTGAGCACTAGCAGCACAGGCTATCGGCTCTAATTAAAAAAAAAGAATAATAAGATGTACATTAGATAATGAGCTTAGTAGTATTAATAAAGTAATGTATAGTACTGATATTTTGTTCTGAAGCTGATTGTAGCATGTTCAAAGGGTTAATCGTTCCAAATGCAATACTTCTACCCAAGGAAAAGTTGAGGCAGTCGCAGAGAATGTGCTTTATAGATACGCAATTTTCCATGGCACATTTACCGATATTATTTGAAAGAGATATTGGAGTCCTTCTATTTTCGATGAAAGCACTGGCGAAGTTGCTGTCAGAGGAGTATTCGCACGACACTTTTCCAAAGTAATTAGAAATCTGATCTGCGCCAGTTAAAGTTCCATTGGGAGTGCAGATGGCAGAAATTTCGTTGAGGTTTGAAGTCCCATTAAGTCTGTTGATTTTGTTCCAGACAACTTTCATTGATGTATTTCTGTGAATTCGTCTCGAGAAAAGTTCGAAACTAAGTGCCTTTGATTTCCGTAATTCCTTCCTGAAAAGAGCATTGGCCTTTTTGTATAATAACAAGTGATTCTGATCAGGACATCTCTTAAAGCGGTGCCATAGATCCATTTTATTTTTCCTCAAAAACGAAAGCGTGTTGTTCCACCAAGGAACCCTAGCTCGTTTAAAAGGGGGGTTGGATTGAGGAATAGAAAGATGAGCAGCCGTGCGAATCGCTTTAGACTTAATAGCAGTTCCCGTTAAATGGCTTTGAATTCAAAAATGACTCCACCTGTTTGGAGTAATTGATCCAATCCGCTTTATCTAGGAGGAATTTGGCCTGCTTTGCTGGAGTAGCAGAGGACATTGAAAGTTTAAGATCGATTATGATTCGAAAATGATCACTATTATGTAGATCATCAGAAATAGACCAGGAAACCAAAGGAAGAAGTGAGGGAGAGCAACATGTTAAATCAATATGTGAAAAAGTATGATGAGTTGAGAAGTGCGTTGGTTTTCCATCATTTAAAACGCAAATGTTGCTTTGAAAAAAGGCCTTTTCTAAAACAGTACCGCGAGTGTTGTTCACTGTTGAGCCCCAGATGGTATTCCAGCTGTTGAAATCGTCGCATATAATTAATGAGGTGCAAAGTACGGAGAATAAATTGTAGAGTTCTTGCTGAGAAAACGATTGCGAAGGTGGAATATAGAGCGAAAGCACTGTAAATTCTATATTTAACATTATTTGTATCGCTACGGCTTGTATATTTGAGCTTAAATTTATGCGTTTGTGAGGTATACTTGATTTTATAAAAACACCTACTCCTTGTTTGGAATATGAATTTTGATCAGCATTCGTGAAGTATCCAGTATATGATTTGGGTTGAATAGGATTAAAAGAGCTTCTACAATGGGTTTCTTGAAGCGATAAAAAGGTTGGATTAAAATCACTTATGAGTGTACGGAGTTCATCAAAATTATTAATAAGTCCCTTAATGTTCCATTGTAGAATTTTAAAAACTTTATTTAATTGTAATGACATGTAAGCAGAGTGGAGGGAGGGTTAAGTTGACATGTCAGCGTCTCCGTCGGGAAGGTCGCTATAGGAATTTTTCGTGAATGATTTATTCTTACCAGCAGAATAATCTGTATTTAGGTGATTTGGTACATTTGAAGCGCAACGGGTTGGCGCACGTGAATAATTTGAAATTGAATGTTGATTAATGGATGAAAGAATGGATTCATTACCACTTGTGATTTGTTGAGTAAAGTTGAGAGCTGGAGATTCTGGAGAATTTGGTATATT